CAGTTAGGCAGGTTTGTAAATAATGATGTACGCACAACCTTAGAACAACAGGGTTCTGGGACACAGGGATTGAGACATGGTTTGAATTGGTAAAAGGGGGGAAATAATGTTAAGATGCTTGGTTGTCTTTTGCATCTTGGTTTCCCTTGTCTACCATTGTAATACAGATACTTAAGGGGGAGAGAAAGGAATAGCCAGAAACATCACCATAGAAAGCCTGTAAGTCTGTCTTCAGCCTATAACTGTTTGGAATACCTAAAATGGGGCTAGACCTTGCCCAGTAAAGGAGGCTTCCTATGGAGCCTCTGCATTGCATAAAACCATAGGTGGCATCCTGAACCCCATCCAGAATCATCTGAGGAGGGAAATTTCCACTTGAAAGGACAAGAAGACCAGCCTGGAGAGGCTAGATGAACAGAAAATATTTCTTGAAAGAAGGACCGGCAGGAAAAATTAAAAAACAATAATAGCAGTCCGATTAACTACTAGAAGAACAAGCAAGCTGTTCTCCTGGGAGCCATCAAGGCAAGTGGTTGGTCCCCTCAGGCAAACCCCCTTCCAAGACTAAGACTCAAGGGGAAACCAGGAGCAGACATGTGGTCTGACTGCTGACCACGTTGATCACTGATAAGGGGAAATGGGGGGAAAACAGCAATGAAATTGGTAGCTAAGTCCAACCACGTTCAATAGACTCCTGTGAACCTGGGTTGACACCAGGTTGAACTGCAGTATGGCAAGACCCGGGGACTCCTGGGCCCAGAGGCAGTGACATGGTCACAGAGGACTAGAGTGGAGAATGAAGTGAGGGGAGATGTACAAGAACACCCATACTTTCAGATAATACCCACTTGACCTGGCTTCAATGACTAGTTGATCAAAACTTGACTGGAAGAAATAAGAGGAAAAAAAGAGTAATCTGTTACAATTTGACAAACTTGGCCTATTCTTAAGGATGTAGTAGCTCAAAAGAGGGAACAAATCTTTACAGTGAGTATCATTCCCACCCCCTCAGTACGCAGGCTTGACCAAGATGGGCAATTTAGACATTGGCTACCCAAAAAAGGGGGGTGGGAGTGGGGGCTACAAAGGCAAGAAGTGACTGGCTTACAGGCTTTCAAGAGAGAGCCTACTTCCAGAGGGTGCGGGGGCAGGTAGAATCTCCACTGAGTGGTTACCAATATGCCTGGACAGGGCTGATGAATGGGGATGGGGATAAGTCTCTTGTGGTACAATAGTGAATAATTACTATCAGGACTGACTGTGAGGGTTGGAAATGTAAAGATAGACATTTTGTAACAAAAGGATGGGCGTGGTTGATTTTGCAGTCCAGGAGCCGGGATCCCTGGGGCCATCAAAGGGAGAGGAGTGGAGTGTGGGACCCTACCCAGAGGGGCAGTGATGCCAGAGATGCAGGTGGAGATGGTGATGTGAAAATATGGGGCAGCTGGGGATTCTGGACTCAGGGAGGGAGAGGCACTGTGTGTTGGCGGCCGGGGGATGGGTTTGTGGGGGTACATTTTGGTTGTTTGGTGATGCATAGCATGGATTGTAATGATTGTAATGAAATGAAATACGATAGGATGAATGTAAAGCTAATGTTCTCCCATATAAACTATCACTCAATTCACAATGAAAACTAAAAAAAAAGACTCTGACCACATACAATTTTTTTCATGATATGCAGTCATTCTTAACTGCCCTTCCTATTGTAATTATTAAGTCATGATCCTAAGCAAGCATTTGCTGTCAAAATTCTTCTGTCCAGAGTGTATAGACCAGTGAAGCAATAACTTAGAGATTTGTTTTCTATTTGGTGTGACACTGTAGGAAAAGCTCTTGACTACTTCTCACAGGATTATCAGTTCAAACCCACTGCACTGCTTGGGAATTCTTTATAGGGTCACTATGAGTTAGAACCAACTTGACACTTAACAGCAGCAACATATATATGGAAAATATGCTTCTCCTCCATAATTGTTTGTCATAATTCTAAGAATAAAAAATTATTCTGTTCTGATGCACACTCCATCAGTTTTTCTTCCTCTTTTCTTTTCACTTATCTTTAGCTCTTTCATTGGTTTGTTCCTGATTGACATCTCTCATGGACTTTACCTTTAAAAACAGAAGTGTCGTGTGAGTGTCCTCTTAGTGTGGATGTTTGCACTGTTAGAAAGCTGGTATCTGTGGTTGAGGTGTTTGTTATAGTTTGTAATGTTTTGCACAGAACAATCTATTACAAATATAGTTCCATTGATAGTACATAGAATTCTACTATACAGCTGTACTGGAGAAAAAGCAGAGTCCTACAGACTATTGTTAGTTTCAAATTCTTACAAGGGACAAAGGCCAACATTTCCTTGAATTTTATTATTTTATTGAATATTTAAAACATGTATTTAATTTTACAGCCTGGTGTGGCGCTGTGGGTTACTGTGCCAGACTGCAAAGCCATTTGAACTGCATGATCGGTGGTTCAAGCTCACCGGCTGCTTATTGGAAA